TTAGGATTTTTTTGGACTATTCCAGACTATTCCATCCAACTCATTAGCTAGTGTGTCATTTGCAAATATGCTAGGTTTAACCACCAGGTGGTGCTGCTGCTACTAAGCTGATCCTATTCACTATAATAACCAGGAACTGAGAAAACCCCTGCTCACTCTGAGGGTTGTATACCAACACCAGAGAAAGGAAGGAGAAGTACCAATGTTTACTGGTCCAGAGAATTGGCAACCCCTGCCCTTTAAGCCTGTCTCTTTCTTTGTGGCAGCTTTCATGTTGTTAGCCTATGGGGTGTGGTCAATGTGGATTTATATAAGCAGCATCACTATTGAGTCCCAAATCAATAGGGGTCGTCATAGGCTTCATGAATCAGAGCTGATTGAAGAAATGGATTTTGAGCTGGGTTTTCCAAATAGGCCACAGATAGATCCCTTGTAACAGAAGCATGCCATTTCTGCTTCTATTCAAGTCACTGATAAAAACAAAACAAAACATTTCAGTTGTTTTCAGTCATGTTTGACTCTCTGTGACCCCACTGGGAATTTTCTTGGCAAAGATACTAGAATGGTTTGCCATTTCCTTCTACAACTCATTTTACAGATCAGGAAACTGAGGCAAGCAGGGTTAAGTGACTTGGCCAAGGTCACACGGCTAGAAAATGTCTGAGTCCGGATTTGAACTCAGGTGTTCCTGATTCCTGGCCTAGCATTCTATCCACTGTACCACCTAGCTGTCAATTGATAAAAATACTTTATAACAAAATATTTTTATTATTCAGAAAATACTTTATAATAAAATACTTTTATTATTGATAAAAATACTTTATAATAAAAAATCCACCAAATTTGATGAGTGCTATCTTTGCCTTGATTCAAGTAATTGGTTAAATGTTTAAAAGGCACATGGCCAAGCACAGATCCCTGGACCACTGGAGAACTCTTTCCAACTTGAGCTTGAACTATTAATGTCTGCTGTTTGCACATGGTCATTCAACGAACTCCAAGTCCACCTAGATATGTGTGACATCTCTTAGCACACGTCTCTATCTTATTCATAAATCTAGCATGAGACTTTGCTTTATCTTGCCTCTCTGATCAAAACCACCAAAAATAAGTAGTCTCCAACCAAGTAAAACAAAATATTTCTGCACTCCCTCAAAACTTCCACCCATCTATTTTTCTTTTAGGATTTATCTTTTTAAACTGGAAAGGGGATGTTCTCTTAATTCCTAGTTATAGAATGCTAGAGCTGGAAGGATCCAAGCCCAGCATTTTAGAAATGAAAAAAACTGAAGCCTAAAAATTCAATAACATTCAGAAAACACGTATTTGGCACTTTCTCTGTATAGAGCATTGTGCTATGCACTAAGGAAGATACAAAGATTGAAAAAAATAACAGCATAGTCCTGCCCTCAGAGAGTTTATAGTCTAATAAGGGCAGGCAAAGATAGGTCTATTTAACCACTAGATGGCACTGTTTGCCACTAAGTCGAACCTATTCACAAAAGATCAGGGCTTGGGAAGTTCACCCTAGCATTACGCACTCCATCCCATACTAACTAGAGTGCTAGGGAAATGCCAAGATCTCTATGGTTCTCAGAAATTGGATGACCTTCTTCCATCCCCCAGCTCCTTCTCTCTCTGGGTGGCCATGCTCCATGTAAAAAAATGAAATTTCATTTATTTCCCTGGTCAATCATTTATTTTTTCCCCTTATACCAAATAGGTTTAGTCAGGCCAAACAAATTCCCAGATAGGTCACGTGCAAACATATGCATTTCATTCTGCACATCAGTCCAACTCCTCCCTGTCAGGAGGTAGGTAGCATGCTTCAGCCTCTCCTCCAGAGTCATGATTGATCGTTGCCTCGATAAGAGTTCTGAATTCTTTGGAAATCATTCATTTTTATAGTGTTGATGTGAAATATAAATTGTTCTGCTGCTTCTGCTCACTTCACACTGCTTTAGTTCACCCAAGTCTTGCCAGGTTTCTCAGAAATTGTCTTTTGCATAATTTCCGACAGCACAATAGTATCCTATTCTATTTCTATATCATGATTTGTTCATCCATTCCTCACCTGATGGGCACCCCCTTAGTTTCTAATTCTTCGACACTACAAAAAGAGCAGCCTTCAATATATTTTCACACATCAGTCCTTTTCCTCCTTCTTTGTTTGATCTCTTTCCTCCATTGTTAGTTTTGACTCGCTTAATCTGGACTAGCTGTTGAGATCCCACCTACAAAAAACTCTGACCCCTCTGTGAATCTGCTATATTTCATTGAGCGCTAATTGTGTGACCTTGTCATAAGCTGTCCTTGCAAGCAAATAGACATTCACGCATTCTGTATACAGTGATTTACTCTTTACCGTTGAATGTATAAAAGAATTAAAATAATACACAATAGGACATCAATTGCATGCTTACAGCTTCTCCCAGATTCCGGCCAGCTTTAGCTGGTTATAGCCCTGCTCTAAACCCCGGAGGCTCAGGTTCTGGTCTCACTGCCAGCCATTCTACTCCCTGGAAGAGAGCAACGTACCTTTTAGCTTGTTTTAGTCTCCTTCACTTTATCTTCTGGGAATGAGCAAAAGAAAATAGGTAATATAAAGAAGATCCCAACCGATGTTTGACTCACAGAATGAAGGACTCAGGAACCCTGGTTCTTGGGACAGAGCTCCTCTTTGAGCCTTGGAGACATAGTGTGGGGAGAGGCTTGAGGTGGAAGGCTCTGCTCTGGTCATGCCTCCAACCTCACTGCTGACCAGCTCTGGCCCAAAGGCATCCATCCCAGTCTCCTAAAGGGGAAATGTTTCAGGGCCAGAGTGAACCTTCTCCATTTCTGTAGACGTTTTACCTCCTTCTCCCCATGTCCTTCTAACCCTTCTGTCTCTCCTTGAGTTCAAGTGCCCAATATGACCAAAAACTGTTAGGTCCCTCTTGGTTTCTAAGTATGATACAAAGCAGACTATGATAAGGTCAAAAGAGAGAGAGCCGGACAGAGGGCATTAGGAAGATTTGAAAAGGGTGAGGTGGATGGAAGAGTAGTAGGAGAGAATGGTTCGTGGAGAAAGTGAAGTGATTGACTCAGAGTCATGAAACCCCTTGGAGGCACAACCACGTTATCTGGGAGTGTGGTCATGAGATCACGAAGAATAGGAGGTGGGGGAAGAGAAGGAACTTCTATACAGTAGTGGAGGCAGCTGGTGGCAAAGTGGATCAAGCTCTAGGCCTGGAGTTAGGAAGACCCGAGTTCTTCACATCCAGCCTCAGGCACTTACTAGTTGTGTGATCCTGGACAAGACACTAAAAAAAAACCCCTCCCCCACCCCTGTTTGCCTCAGTTTCCCCATCTGTAAAATGGGGATAATAACAGCACCTACCTGCCAGGGTTGTTGTGAGGATCAAACAAGATGCTATTTTAAGAGCACTTAGCACATAGTAGGTGCTTAATAAATGCTTCCTTTTTTTTTTTTTTCAGAATAATAGGTAGCATTTTTCATAGCACTTTAACTTTGCAAAGGGTTTTGTATCCATGATCTCATGTGTTTATTATTTGTTATGTGACCCTGGGGTAAGTCTCTTCACTTTTTTAGGCCTCAGTTTCCCGACCAGACAGGCAGCAAATTGCTGTGCCCCGTCAAAGCCCCAGCCTTTCCCTCTAGTTCTCAGCAAGGTTCTGCGCTTGTTTGCATACTGTCTCCCCCACTGGACACTCCTGGAGAGCCGGGACTGTCTTTGACCTTTCTCTGTATCCCCAGCCCTTAGCATAGTGCCTCACACATAATAGGCGCCTAATAAATGTTTGCTGACTTTCTGCTACATGTCATACCACCTCTAAGGATGTGTGTAAGTCCACTGAGGTAGGAGGCATGGTTTTTGATGTAAGTGTGTGAGCTTCTGAATGGAGGGTAATGGGGATACTGATGCGTGTGTTTGTGATTGTCTGGGTGATGTGTATTTTCGGTGGAGGTGCGGATAGGGCTGTGTTCATGTCCATTGGAGGAGGGTCAGGATAGGTGGGATGTTTGCATGCCCGGGGTCTTTGCGTTGGTTTGGCAGGAGGTGGGAATGTGTATGTGTGTGTGTATGGAGATGTGTGTGTGTGTGCGTCTGTGGTGTGTGTGTGGGGTGTGTGTGTGTGTGTGTGTGGTGTGTGTGGTGTGTGTGTGTGTGTGTGTGGTGTGTGTGTGGTGTG